CTAACATATTTGGTTGGATTGATGTGAGTTTGTGACCCTGGGTTCCACGCTTGCGATCGTCACAATCACAAAAGTGTGAAACCCAAGGTCACAAACTCACATCAATCCAACCAAATATATATATATATATATATATATATATATATATATATATATAGGGTGCAATTAGTAAATTGTTGCGATTTTATATTTTTAATTTTACACAAACGCATTGTGTTGTTTTTGATATTGTTGACTACACAGTAGGGTCAGTTGAGCACCATCTGTGAGAAAAAGAGCATCATGATGCAATTCACTCTGCCAGAAATTTGAAAATGACATGCTGTACTGCTTGGCATTCCTGTCGGAAGCTCCATTATGAACATTTCAGAGTGTTTGGGTGTCAATCTGAGGACAGTGTCGAAGATTTGGAAAGAGTTGAATGAGTCTAATGGTGATTATGAAGGAAAACTCACCATGATCGTTATGATAAGAAAAGAACTCGCGAATCTGTTGGTGAGGGCTTCCAACTCAATATGGAGGCCTACATCAAGTACTTTGAGGAGTTAGTGCTGTCCTGGGTCAAGAGGGTGGCTGCTAAAAGACCCTATATCTGATAACAGGACTCTACACAAGCAGGAATATTGAATACATTTACTCTTTAGTATTTCAAGACATTTTTGTATAATTTTGGTAAATATATCTCTTAAAATGAGATGTCAGTTTTATTTTAATTTTTGTGTAATTTAGGCGACAATTTATACATCGCATCATATATATATATATATATATATATATATATATATATATATATATATATATATGCAGACGTGCGAATAGGCGCACACATGTACAAATGCACACATGTACACGCACATACACTATAAAAAAGAACAAATTTAAACCATTGAAAATTGCATAAAGAATGAAATTATGAAGTAGAAGCAGTCAATTGCTAATATTTTCTGGTGAGTGGATGTAGTGATTCCTACAGTATTCGTCTATGAAACTCTGGAGTCAGGATACTGAAGATAACATCTATCAGCTAAGTAACAAACATTTTACTTATATTAATTCTATATATATAATGAACCAAGAAAGCTAAGTATTACAAACTATCTGCCTTTTTCTACTTTTGAAAGTTATGCAACCATCTATCACTTCAGTGAGCAACAATCTCTCTTAACTTTGTTTTAAACATTTTTGAATATCATTTTGTATTAGATCATTTAATCTGTTGTATGAACATTTCCTCTTCATGACAATATATTAAAACTATGGACTTTAAGAATTCTGATTTATTTTCCTGAAATGAGCAACTGACACTACTTCAAGCATGTATTATGACTCATGATATAAATTCATGAATAAATTCCTTATCTTGTTTTGTTTAAATTACCTGTAGGTTTCCTCCTTATTAATCTTTGTGGTGTGGATAAATCAGCCGTTCATTTTAACTACCATGCCCCTATAAACACACATCAAACACCCTATATTATATCACTATAAAATCCATACGTAAAGAATCTAAAAATATGTCTGTCTACTACCACTAAACAGTGTTGCGTGAAAATATTCCCAAATCAACATGTGGACAAGCGCCATACATAAATAAAAATGCCTATTAGACAAACACACATACACAAATTAATATACATTATGATCTGAGTCCCATATAAACAAACTAGAATCATCACACACACACACACACAACTGTGTATTTGGGCAACAACTCTTCTTTTATACAAATTTCATTGAAGACAAGGCACTGTAATTAAGCTTTTTATTAAATTTTTTTTGCATTCATACAAGTATTTTCTTTCTAGATATAAAGTGTCCCAATGTTTCATGGGCCTGAATTGTTTTAAAGATGTTTTTTTTTACTGAATATGTTGGTTTATATATATATATATATATATGTGTGTGTGTGTGTGTGTGTGTGTGTGTGTGTGTGTTATCTTTTGTATATATGTATCTATATGGATGGGAATGTTTTATTCTGTTTTTTTTTTTGTTAATTTCTGAACACTGTCAGCATGGATCCGTCTACCTAGGTTTTTGTTTTTATCTGAGTGTCAGGATATCAGACATTAAATAACAACATTGAATCTTTTAAATTAAACATAAAAAGGTTATCCTGTGAAAGAAAAGTAGAAGCAGAACATCAGTTGAAATAACATTTATAGATTCTTTTCAGAAATATACAATAACCACAATATGTTCAATTTTCCTTTCAGTGAATTTTGTTTCATATATAGTAATTAAGTGTTCATAGTGTCCTACGAGATGTGTGGACAGACTTACTTTATGATGATCAACCTAATGTTTCAGTCAATGTGTGCACAAGGCCTTAGTTGTCTGCTGCTGGCTAATCACTTTCATTGTGTGCATGTGTGTGTGTGTGTGTGTGTGTGTGTGCATATGTAGATCAAATAGGCCTCCAAAAATTGTTTTGAACCTTGAAAAGCAGTATGCTTATATTTTTATATCTGTAAGGGAGATCCAAAATCTAATTTCACATAGAAATGTGAACGTTTTAAATGTAAGGTTTTCATTAGTGAAAAAGTAATTTCACACTTGTTAAAATCTTTCTCTCAAATTTGTGGGAGTGGTGAAGGGAGTTATTATTGTTATTTTCTAGAATTTAGAAAATAATAATAATAACTAAATAATAACTAAATAGTATTTTTGAACCACTTAGAATCTAAATGGTTCAAAAATAACATGTAGTAGGTCTACAACTACATCAGCCAAGTATTTTGACAGTATTTGCTCTTGTAATGGTTGCTTATCAAATAAACCTTCTGATGGGATTTTATTGGTTGAAAAATATATATAGGATTTAATTTCTATAAGTCCATGTTCATAGTTGATGTTATTGAGAGCTGGCTTCATGGAGACCTACCAACCTCTGTCCACAACATACTTGGAAAATACAACTATAATAGCCTCATCAACATTTTAAAAATCGGCTAAAAATAATGGAAGCATTAATAATAAAAAAAAGTAGCCAACTCACAATAATATCAACTATGAACATGGCCACAGCGTGCTGACTGTGTTTGCAAATTTAAAAAATACATAAAATCCCTATAGATACACATATACAAAAGCCTACATATCCAGTTGATAAAACATCCTTGATAATGGCAAATAGATTAGGTGAAAGTGCTTGGAGCCATAGAACATTTTGACAGTTTTTACACACTTTATGTCCAGAAAAGAAAATACTTGTATGAATGCAAGATCCATTTAGCCTTTATAACTTGTTATGTGACTTCATTCACTGTCCAAAAGGTTTATTCTGCTACTGAAGGTAGCCTGATATCTAAATTTGCATTCCATAGTTGTGTTGTTCTATCCTGCTATGGCAACAGAAAACAACTTTGAGTGAAATTAACAATAAGAGAGGGATGGAAAAAGAATGCAGTCAAAAGGGAAGTAATATTAATAATGTAGAGTGCTAAAGGTTAATAAAAAAATTAATTGCAGTGCCTTGACAGTTATATATATATATATATATATATATATATATATATACGATATATATATATGTATATACATATATATATATGAGAGTGAGAGACAGAGAGGGAGAGAGAAAGTAGGGCTACTATATATAGTGTGTGGCAGAAATACCTCCCACATAATGGTAATACATTAGTGGCAATGGAGACTTCATCTAGCTAATGTCTTATTATTAAGTGGGAGGTATTTCTTGGTGGTATATGTGGGAGTTATTTCTGTAATACCCTGTATAATGTAAATGCCTTGATAATGAATTTATTGTAGAATGGCAATGAAATTCTGGGCGAAAAGTGATTTTCTGTGGCCAGGAACTACTTGAAGCATTAATGACATAATTCTGTATTTGACGAAGATCCTTCTTGGGGTCCAGCATGTCACATAGGACATTTTTCCATTTTATCATTTAGTAACTGAAAATATATACATTTTTTAGTAACTGAATTCAATTGCCCATATGTAAACCAGATATACATAGAGAGAAGGGGGGCACCTCAAGGTGGTGTAATGATTAGTTAGCAAGTTTGTCTCGCTAGAACATTTACAGCAGAGTAGTGAGTTCGATTCTCACTGGGTGCCCCCCCTACTTTCAGCTTTGTGCCACATCTAAGCTACGCTTGGAAAATCACTATACATAGAGAGAGAGAGAGAGAGAAAGAGAGGAGCAAGATAGACGTTTTGACATGGTGTAATGGTAATGGTTAGCAAGCTTGTTTTGCTAGATCAATTACAGATGAGTAGTGAGGTTGATACTCACTGGGTATTCCATACATCTAAGCTACACATTGTAAATCAGTAGAGAGAGAGGGTGAAAGAGAGAGAAAAAGAATGAAAAAAAGAGTGAGTGAAAGAGAGAGAAAAAAGAGAGCGAGTGAAAGAGAGAGAGAAAGTGTGTGAAAGGAATTGAAAGATGGTGAGAGAAAGAAAGAAAAAAGAGAGAGAGAGAGCGAAGGAGAGAGTGAGTGAGAGGAAAAGAGACCGTGAGAGAGAGAAAGTGGTTGGTTCTCTTAAAAAATATGACAGACCATTTACTGTACAGGCAAATTTTGAGACCCACGTAGTTTTTTTTTATGTCAAAAAAACCCTTTTTATCCCATTTTCATTAGAATATTTTATTATTTTTTTTATTTATGTTTTAGTGGTAGGGTTTATGCGCAAAAAATTCATGTCTGTCTGTAGCGAAGATGATTTTTTTTCATCATTGATTGGCCAATAAAAGTAAAATAGATTGCAAACTGTCTTTAAAAAGTTGTAAAAACGAAAAGGAGGACACATACGTGGTAGGGGAAAAAAATTAATGTATTTTGAACATGTCCCTGACCTTTAGTAAACTTGAAAAAGAGAAAGACAGGAAAAAAAAATGTAAAAGAGAAAGAAGACGATAATAAGGGCGGTGATAGTAAATAGTGTTATCAGTTGATTATAAGAACGGGTACTTGGCGCGTGTTTGTCTCTATTTTGTTCACGCTGCTTCTGTGTACGGGTTTTTTTTTATCATGTCTGATTCAACTGGAAAAGTAGGTGACTTTATTAATTCATTTTATCGCCTAAATTTATAAAAAAGTGTATCTAAAACATTTTAATTTGTAATATCGTTTTCTGATTTTAATATTAAAAAAAAACAAAACCATGATGTGTTTTTAAATTTGTTTAAAAAGTCTGGAAAGAAAATTAATTTCTTTGTTGTACAATGTACAGTAATTAAAGTTTCTATCGCAATTTAATGGTTTTATTATTCTAACATTTTTATATTTATCTTTTTTGTTTAATTTGTTAAAAGTGACATACATAAGCTTTCGAGTGGGGGGAGGGAATGTATAAGCTGCCCCCCCCCCCGCGGCCGGTATAATTTTCTCTTCTTTATCGATATATTAGGGTTTGTTTTTAATTTAATCTTTATGTAATTCTTCCTGTTAGCAATTTTTTTTTTTTTTTAATTTCAATTATTTTCAATCTGATGACAAGCTTGCCAAACAACAGTTTCTTAAACTTCGGTGGGAGGATGTGAAGTTTTTTGGTCATTAATGTTCCTTCACCGCAAGTTTTACCTTTTTTCTTTTAAGTTTTTGTTTGAAAATACTTTTAAGTTTTACAGTATTATTTCTTATTTAATTTAAAGTCCTCTTCTAGAAAGATTTTATTGGAAACGTTTTTTTTTTTTTAGTCTTCAAGACAACTTTAGAATTTAATTTGCTTATTACTTGTTTTTTTTTTTTTTTTTTTTTATCAAAACATTAAAAAAATATTGAGTGAAAAAAAGAAGGTATTTAAATGTTCCACAGGGCAATAGTATTATTGTATTTTCAACAAATTTTTAATGTTTGGTTTCCTAAGAAAATATACTTAGGCTCTTATAAATGAAGTGCATATTTTCGCAATATGAAGCCAAGAAAAAATGTTATTGGTGTACTGTAGTTACTGTATTGAAAATATTTTTTTTTCAAAACGTTTATTAAAATGTCTTATAAATAAATTAACGGGAATCATCACAGTTAAAAATACTAAGACTTTGACTTTTTTCTCTTCACATTTTTTTTTTTTTTTTTTTTTAATTTTTTGACAAACTTTTTAAAAGCTAAATTTTACCTCCGCAGGATGTAAAAATCAAAATATTAAAGATTTTTCTAAATCGAAATTGCTTTGCGGGGTTTAATCTGCAAATTTACCGCTTCAAAATATATTTTTCTGCGTGCTTTTGAATAAATGATTTTTTTTTTTTTTTTTTTAGCAGAATATTGTTTAAGGGAATTAAACAGCAGCCCTTTTTTTGCTAGTCTAAAAACTATGGAAGCCTGTATAAAAAAAAAAAAAAAGCTTGATAAAGGTATATCATGTTTAACTTTAGCGCAAAGAAAAAGATAATATACCTTTTATCCTGTTCCTTTAATTTTAATAAAAACTAAAAAGGAACTTGTAAGACGCATAAAAACTTATAAGTTACGAAAAACCAAAAAAAAAAGAAGCTATCTTCAACCCCCAAAAAAACTCCGACCACAAGTTATCATTTTTCAGCGAGAAAAAATACATTTTTTTTTTCTTTTTAGTCTTCCATATAAAATAATACTTTAAAATTGGAATGGAAGGTTAGACAAAAATCAGCGCCGAATTTTTACATTCGATTTACAATACATTTAAGTAAATAAAAATTATTGAATATCCGTAGTCACAAATATGGACATAAAGTTAGGGTCTAGTTTAGCATTTATGTATACGGGAAACTGAACCCTCATTTCAGAGATACATCATTCACTCCTGAAACTTTAAATTTTCCTCATGAAAAGTTCCCGAATTAAAATGGTCATCATAACTAAATTTTGACCTTTTCATATGAAAATCCTCAAATTAGTTTTTTTTTAATTGGTTATTTCTCATCTCGAAAGAAGTAAAATATAATTTTTAATTTGTTACATTTTATTTTTCATCCAAAAGAAAAATGGATTTTTAAAATTTGAAATTATTATTTCCGAATGACAGTTTTAATTAAATTTTTAAAAGAAAAATAATGATCACTTTTTAAATTCTAAATTTAGTTATAATTTTAAAATTTAAAACTATTTTAATTTTTATTATTTTACTCTTTGACTGGATCTTGTTTTTAGTTTTTATCTGAAAAACCCCGCCGCATTATTTCCAAATTAAAGAAAAGAAATATAAAAATGTTTTATTGTTTTTTTTTTTTTTAATGGAGTTCTTTTGAAGACTTAAAGGCTCTTTTGTCATTAATTTTTTTTTTTTTTTTTTTTTTTTTTTTTTTTTTTTTTTAAACTTTAAAAGAGGAGGTGCTGCCTTTTTTTTTTCTGCCAAATGCGTTCTAGTGTTTTTTTTGTTTTGTTTTTAATCCAAGTTTTTACTCGCCCCAAAATATAATTATGTTTAAAAGTTAAAAATTGTTGAATCAGTGTAACCCGGATATGAGATTTTCTCTGGTCCCAAATTAGAGCCTGTGAATGTATATAAAATAGACCAAACCCGGATATAAGAGAAACCCGGGTATAAGAGACTTCTTATCCGGTCCCGACAACTCTCTTATATCCGGGTTACACTGTTGTATACGTCTTTTTATATCCCAGACCCTATTTTGCGCTTGTTAGTTATAATTTTTAACTTTTTAATTCTAAAATAAAAATAAAACAAATATAACAATTCCTAGCCGATGTACATTTTTTGGGCTTTTTTAGTCACAATAACAATGTCCTGGTTATATTTTTCATAAAAGCCATTAAAAACTTTTCTAATTTAAATAATGTCTTAGTTTTATATTGGGTTTTACATTTACAATTCAGAGCTAAATTTATGGTGGAAACAGTCCTTGATTTATTCTTCAAAGTCATGTGCATTTAATTAAAAAATTACAGACATGGCACGTGGAACTAGAACATTCTACACCAGTGAGCAAAATAAAGAGTTCAGTTCGACATTCCAACCACCTGAAGGCCGGAGCGCACAACAGCCGAAACGTTGTGATAAATATGGCGACAAAGATGAGGACAATAGTCCGAATAATGTAAATAATGTAGATAGATACACATATTTGAGTTTTCAAAAATGAAGTAAGATGGATGGGGGTAACAAATGTAAAAAAAAAAAAAAAAAATTTACCATGACTTTCTCAAAAAACAAACATTTCTAAAATAATTTAATTAATTTTTTAATAAGTTCTGAAAGTTTCATTAAAATCCGACAATTATTTAATTTTTGAAAGAAGTTTCAAATGTTTTTCAATTGAAAAATGCTAAAAAACTAATGCTAAATAAATATTACGCGACCACTGATGTAACAAAAAAAAATCAAGATTATAAAATATTTTACGAAAGAAGTGCTGAAAAGTTCTCTTAAAAAGAGATTAAAAAAATGTTTGGTCAGATTTTGGGAAGTGGGGCGGACCAAAAACTTTTCAGCATCAGTTAAGTGTTAATAAGCATTAAAGTTTAATGTTTATTAAATAAAAACATTGATGTTTAATGATTAAACATTGATGTTTTGTTTAGTCTTCAAATTTAACATATTTTATGAGTAAAAAATCTGTTTAAGTTTAGCGTTTCAAACAATTTCTGCATACCAAACAAACATTGATCTATCACTGTCACCCTTTTATCTTAATATTTATTTGCCATAATAGATACAAAATGTGCCACAAGAGCTAAAAAGTGGGGATGGGGAAAAGACTGGTTTTCTCTAGTCCTACCTCAAAACTAGCTAGTCTCATTCATTGACCCATTCGTACTTACAATTTTCCTTTCACCATAACAACGCATTTACTTTTAGCTATCACACTACAGTCACCAAAATACCTCATTTTCTCTATGAAAAGCCCTAGCACAAAGTTTTATTTATACAATTATTGAGGGATTGGGGAAAAAAATCAAAACCCAATGTTTATATACAATGAAAAAGATGTTTATACAAGAATATAAACAAAACAATATTAGTAGTAGGACCCTTCCCAAAAATGTGGCACAAATCTCAATTAGCTGGGTTGAACAAATAAATTGAAGAATATTTCCTTTAGCCAGAGAACAGACATCTGTCACCTAAAAACTGGGTGGGGTGGAGGCAAGAAATTAAAATGGAGGACAAAAAAGGGGGTACTTATGTACTTGCATGCTCTAGCTATGTTGAAAGGAAAATATTTAGCCCCGAGGAGGCCAAAAGTGAAAATGTCCTAGCTTACCATAAAAGGGTTGGGATGACTGATGTTTTGGTTTGAGGCCCAAAATCCTCTTACCTAAGTTGCATCCAACCACCACTCCAGGTCAGCACCTACACTCGCACCAAGTGTGAAACTTTCACCCACCTTTTGCTGAATTTCGACGAGGAGAGACACACCCTCTCCACCCTGATCTTAACCATAAGCTGATGCCTAAAGAAAGAGACCAGTTGCAAAGAGGAAAATTTCTCACCTGCATGAACCTCCTTCTGTCTAGTCGTCCACACCACCATTCACATAATGCCGAACAGACACAAGAACACATAGTGCTGATCCCTCGACATTGACGGAAACACATTGGCACAAATGGAACTGGCTTCTAGGACAAAAAACTTTCCATCCAAGACGCAAACCATGTAGCCTTCAATCAGCCTGCACAAAGGGCGCACAACATCGCAGTGAAAGAAGGCATGTTCAATGGACTCCTCCCAGTCACAACAGCACACACATTCGGCTGAAATCGCCAAGTCCACTGTGCAGAGCGTTTTGCTGACCCAGAGAGCCCCTCGCAACACCAGCCAGGTGAGAGATGCCTCGTTGTTATTGAGAAATTTCAACCTGGGCGCCCAAAGCGAGACTGAGGAAACTCCTCATTCGTGAGGCCCAGCTCACCTGGGAGCTTGTCATTGGCCTTCCCCCTCACTGACACATGATACAAAGCCTTCTGAGACACCACCTGGGTGTCAGAGAGGCCATCCTTTACCTCTAAGAGGCAGCACAGCGTGTTTCTACACTCCTGATAAAACTGGCATTCACCTTCGGGTGAGCGGTACGCCTCCACCTCGTCGGAATGCACACTTTCAAGGGACG